GCTCGCAAAATTCCAGTTTGCGAGCGCAAATTACTGCACGCAAAATTGGATCTTGATAAATCCGGCCCTTAGAGTTCAACAGGGGTGAAAAAGAAAACTGCTATCAAAACAGTTGAAAATAAGTGGAGTGGAATAGACAGAGACCAGGTGGAGTCAGAAGGGAAAAGGAAGATTACTCCTGACTTGGTTGTCACTCTTACTTCCACAATCATGGGCAAACCAGATGAAATGATAGATATAAACAAAGGAAACCTCCTTTACGACGCATTTTTTTCATTCATGCACTTATCACTCAAGAAATCTTTTTTTTTTTTTTTTTTTTTTTACATTGACACATTTTTAATGTTTCTTTCAGTTGTTAGTTTACAGTACATGAAACCATTTTTTTTAATTTTATATAAGAGATTTATTTATATATATATATATATAAGTATATAAGTCTGTCAGAGAAAGGCATAGGCTGTTTTTGGGTGTCCTAATTTTTTCACAGCTGCTTAAACATTATTAGCAGATATTTTAGCCAGTGCCAAATCCATAATAGTTTAATCAAAGTGACCTTTTATTCCAACTTTGCTTTATGGAAACACAGGAATGCCTTGACCATCTGAATAAGCTTTTTGTAGTTTAGAACAGACCATAAGTCTTTGTTGTGTCTACAATGCCAAATAAAAATAAAAGAAAATCAACTGATGAATGTATGGGTTTGTTAGTTCTTAAACAGGTGAAATTTTAGCTTTTGCAATAATCAATAAAATAATAAAAGTAACATGATGAAAGCCATGTATTTGTTATACTATGTCGAAATGAATAAAAAGGAATGAAACATTTAACCCGTGTTTGATTTATTTTAATCTGCCATGTTTTGTCCATTTAAAGCACAGGTCAGAGAAACAGAAAATTATAAAACTTCATAAAATTAACCTTTTTAAGCTGCAGCCATTTATTTGTCAGCAGATGAAAAAAAAACAAGACTAAAACTGAACTTTCTGTGGACTGTTAGTCTCTGTCACATCTTCATACTGATGTGCACTCGCTTATCATAGCCTACTTTCACCAAGCACCTTTACTTGTATTAGGACTCTGTGGTCAATCAGTATATTGATTTTTTTTCCAATTACGTTCATTTTCTTCTCCAATCATTTTTTTTTTTTTTTACCCATTTGAAATCTGGACTGGGGGAAAAAAACCTAAATGTAATTGAACCTGATCCATGTGTCCTCTGGTTGGCAATGAAACCGACATGAGGGGAAGGAGCTAAATGATCGTCCCCTCCTTTGAAAGGAAATTTGACCCAAGATATAATTTACAGAGGAAAATTAGGATCATGCTAAGAGGTATGTTCTTCCAGTTAGGAGTCTGAATTCAGAATGATAGATGTACCAGATTGAAGTCGTAACCTTAGCGTAATTAAGTCAAGTACACAAGAAAAAAAGTTGTAATACTGTGAAAATAAAATATAAAAGGTTGTTTTACACTTCTTATAAAACAAATATTACAGCTTTATATGCCAATATGATTTTATTTTGCTTATATTGGCTTTATATTTACATTGTAACCCCATATGTCAGGAGTTTCTGGTAACCTCAGGAGGATTTTCCTTAACACACTGTAACATACCAATGCATTTTAAAACTCAACAACGCATGCAAATAAAAACTGGTTCATCCCAAAGGCAGAACATCTAAACCAAAGCTGAGTTGCATTGTTAATGCGGCCCAGTGCAGCGAGGACTATTCAGAGTCCAATGTTGGACAAACCACCAACAACCACACACACGGCACAGCGAAGGAGAGCCAGCAGCTCTGGGAAAGATCCAGCTGTACTCTTCCGTCTCAAGAAAAAGGACATACCTTTAAAGACCTAAATGCTGAGAATTTGGAAGAGATAACAAGGGTGAAGGAAGCCATCTTTGTTCAAAGGGAACAACTCATTCTCCTCATGATTCCAGCCTAAAACATAAAAACCCATAAGATACAACAGACTAAACAGCCCAGGAGAACTCCAGGTGGGTCTTTAATTTGCAATGTGCAGAATTTGCACATTTCATCACACAACTTTGTTGTTATGACTTTAACCTCATGACACTTTATTCTAAACATTTCTTCAATAAAGCTATTGCAATAACTATCAAACATTACCAGTAGGGCTAGGTGTTTAAATGATTATTCCTTGTAAAGATAACTTATTTTGGAAAATCTGGATTTCCCATTCTCCCCCCCACCAAGGCACGGCATAGGTTTTTATAGCTCCTAGTGACATCACTTCCTGTTCCTAGATGTACACCCATTACTAATAACCTAGCTCACTGTTAATACCAGTAGCTGCAAACTAGCATTTTTCATAGCTTGATTTCATTGCCCTTTAAACTAAAAGTCACCACCTAGAGGGCATGATTAAAACAAAAGCTAGTCTTTAAAGTAATGTATGTCATTTGTTAATTTATGATGAAACTTGAGGTTTAAAAAAAAAAAATGATTCATTGGATTAGGGGAAAAAAATGGAAAATTGTGATTTTTAAGCCATATTGCCCCGTGTCAGTGACTAATGGTTTTTGTGCCCAAAATAATGCAGATGTGTTAAATGCAAATTCAGACTGGTGACCATCACTGTTTACAGTTTATTTTCAGTATTGCCTAAAATACAAAAAAGAAAAGAGATAATGCGGGACTTAAGTAATATCAGAATCAAGATGATATACAACAATATGATTTGGGTCTTTAGTCCATCGCATTCTTTATTTGCTGGCCAATAAATAAAGAGTTGTTTTTAGAGAATCCATTTTTTTTTCATGTTGCAGATCATTTCTAAACAGCGATGATATGCACGCAGCTCTTTGGCACTTTGAAACTTCCAATTATGTAACAAGAAAACTACACCTGAGAATTTTCTGACTGCAAGCCACAGCAGTGAGCACGTCTGTGTGCATCAGCTGCTTGAATGACTTAAACAGGAACAAAGATGAGAAGCTTAAAATGGTTCCTAAAAAAAAATTGTCTTTCACATTCACTCCCCTCGACATGGATGCATGCCGATCAAAGGGAGGAGCATCCGATCAAACGTCCTTTTCCCTCAGGCTCAGCGTCTCTTGTCCTTGATCTTTGAGTGTTCTTGGTTTTCCGTCTGGGACAAGGTCAGGGGTGGCGCCAGCCACAGACAGAGGAGGATGATGAGGTGACAGACATGAAGGGCTGCAGAGCTGCTGCTAGTGGAGGGGTAGGTATTCCACGAAAGCTCAATCAGGCCCAGGATGAGTACTCTGCACATCAGAAACAGCTTGTTTTTCCCCCCATGTACACATGGCACAAATCTGGCCTTTTTTTTTTTTAAAGACATCATCTTACCTGAGTAGATGGGCTAGCTTCTTAACTCCTCCACTCCAAAGCAGGTAAGGAAGCGTATGGAAATACCACACGTAAAACTGGTAGTGCAACGAGCGGCTGAAGCACATGCCGATGAAGTTAGACGTAAAGAGTATCAGCACTAGCTGTAGGTCGCCGTTAAGGATTAACAATACAAAGGATATTATTTTATGACCACTATTAGTTGCTTTCAGGGGATTTTAAGTACAAAAAAAATAGAAAATAGTTTTTTAAATTAAAATCTTGATTGATACCCCCTGAGTGAAGAGTTGCTAAAATGTTAGGTGAGGATAGCTAAAAGTATTGCTGAGTGTTCTTGAAAAGATTTAAGATTTAGAGGTAAGAGAATAAGTCAACAATCCTGAGTATTTAGCTTTTAGCAAAATAAAGCACAATTTAATTCTTGCAATGAAGCAAGAAAATGCAGGTAATGCACAAATAGGTTTCCAACACCATTCATTATTTCCTGAATTGTTTTTCTAGAAAACAAAAACAATCTGAAGGTATTTCAGTTTGTTGACTGGAAAAAAAACAGAGAAAACAACATCTCCCCTTAGAAGCCTGAAAGTGGAATAAAACCAGCTGGTCGTTTAAATCCTTATCACCAGCTTTCAAGAAATGAATGTTTGGGATCCATCTGTACTAATAAATAATTTTTTTTTTTATAAATGTTTTTAAAGAACATCATAGGATGTGCTGACATCTAGTGGCGGTACAGTAAACTGAAGGAAATAGAAACCAGAACCTCTCCTCTGTGATGGTGTAACGTAGAAATATTATTCATAACTTAAAAACTACAAAAACTCTCCTTGGAGCCAGATTCAGTTTCTATAGACCTGGACTAATAAAAAATATAATTATCACAGACTCAGAGGATGGGAAGCTGGCATATTTTTCAGAAAACAAACCCACAATTGTTGGTATTTTCCACTAGAATTAAAAATGAAAGTTAAATCCATTTAAGTTGCATCAACAGATCCAAGGATGTATGCTATAACTCAAAGGATATGATCTGCAGTGACGTTCTGAGGAGGGGTTTTCCTCTTGCCCGGTTCCTTAAGAAGCTCAAATATGCTTTCTCCTGGTCTAGTAAGCGAGAAACAGAAAATACAAAAATTAATGTTCACAGAGAAACACTATAAAATAGAATAAAGTCATTTAAGGTGGACTAAATACTATAATACTGCTGACTTACAGTTTATGGATTGCATTACAGGTTACAAATAAAGCACAGTAAAGGGAATTTAGTAGGGCTGCATTATACTCGAAGATCAAAATACAGACTAGTAGGCAACAATTCAAATTACAACAGCAGTACAGCTCAAAACTAGAGCTACGCTATATGCATTAACGTCTCAGTTCCACGCAGATCTCCTCCTCCTGTCCGCTTATAGTTCCCCCTGCTGTGTCTTTGCTCCTTACTTCGAGGCAATATGACAGCAAATGGAGATTCACAGAGAAATCAGCTGGTGACTGAAACCAGGTAGTTTTTAGTTTGATTATTATCTGGTAAGTCAACGACACATTACCAAAGTCGCGCTGACAAAACTGCTCTGTGTAAACACATTTACTGAGAGGAGCAACTCAAATGTTAGTTTTCGTTGTAGCATTTCAATATTTCGTCAGAGGAAACGTGCATCATGCTTTTTATAACATAACTATCAAAGATGGACCAAAACAGGTTTTATCGATGCCGATACTGGTTGTATTGACAGGTCAGACCCATTCCCAATAAGCACACATCAGTTGATGCGAGAAAAAACGTCAATGTCAGGCGAACATGTGTCAATCTACTTCTAGTAACTTTTATCCATGAAAGAATATAAGCTGTTATTTATCATATAAAATCAGGAGGAAAATACTTTTTTAGCAGAGGATGATACTGAACCACCTGTTGTTGATTGCAAAAAAAGCTTCAAGTTGACCTAAGGTTAACTTTTATCTCCTCCTTTTATGAATCATTCTTTATTTGGAGATGCTTTTGGAAAGCTCTAATTTGAATTCATCCGACACAGAAAATACTCTTTTTAGTTGTCAACACCAGCTGAGCTTATGGAAAATAAAACATGTAGATGGCAGTTTCAAATATTGTTCATTTGAATTCAAATGTTTTGTGTTAATTATGGGACATAAAGTATAACTTGTACAAATGGGAAGTTTGTACAAGAGGTTGGCAGTGGGCTGCAAATTCTCAAAAATAAAAAAAATCAACAAAATCATATAATCTCTTTTAGATTAATGTCTCCAGAATCTAAGTAAAGTATTCAGCTTACCTCTTCCAACGGCGGAAAGCAAAGAGCAGCAGGGTTAGGAGGTGAGCAGCCAGCAGGAGCAGGTGGAAGTAGCGATTCAAGAAAAGCCACTCTGGCAAGAAGCGCCAGTTCACCGTCCACTTGAACATGAACTGACGGCCCAGGTCAAAGGCCCGGCTCATATAACCCACAGGGTTGTTCAGAAGGAACGGCAAACCCAGGAGAAGCTACAGTAATCAAAGAAAATATTGGAATAATTATTGGTGAAAGTCTTTATTCCAGGTTATCGTGTTACAAGGAGTCTTTACCTGCATGGCTGCACATAGACAAAGTTTAGGGATTGTTCTGATGAAGCCAAATTCCCACAAGAGAAGGAAAAGTAATCCAGGGGCAAAAAGAAGGACGTTCATTTTCACCGACACTGCTAAACTGTCAGAAAGAGGGAAATATTAAACTGCAATTTCATCACCACACTTATTGAAGGAAAATGATGATGAATCTGAACATATTTTCATGGTGAAGTCTGCTGCTGCTTTAAGGAAGACTTGCCTGTAAACCCCACAGCCCAGGGTCCAGTACCCATCCATAAAGAGATTGATGGCTGCAAACAGCAGCATCATGGCTACTGGATCGTTAAAGAGACGCAGCACAAAGATGGAATGGATCCGATAAGAGGCACAGCACACAAAGAAGAACACATAAGGAGGAACCTGGGAAAAAAATGGGTACAGAGATTAAAAAATGTATACATTTACAGTATAACAGCTTGAGTGTTCTATTCTACATAACAACTTGATTTTTTAGGGTGTAGCCAATGTATTTGCCAGAAAAGAGACAGACCTTTTTGGTGCGATTGTATATTCTGAAGACAAGCAACAGCGTAACCAGATAGAAAACCGCAAAAATGTACTGGCCCAGACGGATGTTCACGCCATGGCTGGTGATATAGTACAGGGCCGTGAAGATGTAGACGAATCCAGCAGGGTACCTACAATAACAGAGGGACCAATTTATCAATACCTTCAGAATTAAAAAACAGAGAGGCCTACATTGGAAAAATTGAGTTTTTCAAAACTCACACCAAAGGGCCAGTGTCTCCTTTAAGCAGGGTGTAGTCGTAGGTACCATTGATGACTCCTTCTACCTCATCCATGTAAGCCTTCCAGTCGATCTCTGTGTCTGCACAACATGACATCAATATTAATTTACAAGTATTAGTATCTTTATCAGACCATTTCTTTAAAAATGGAATTCTACTTTGAAATTGAATTGTTTTATGAAGGATATTACTGAGTAAAAACACAAATTTTAATTCGACAGGTATGATCTATTTCCAAGCCTCAAATTGGTATGAGCCACTCGAATACATCTGCACACTATATCCGACAACTATTGCAATGCTACCGTGTCTAAAAATTACATAATAAAGGACTGCTCTTAGACAATGCCTCTTTTTTAGGACAGAGAGAATTTTGTGGTGAAGCAAAAATAAGAGAAAAGTCAGGTATATGTAAAGTAATCGTAATTAATACCACTTATCATTAAGCAATTGTATTTACATGTTTGACTGATATGGTCAGCCTTGGTTTCATGCTTTCAGGAGATCAATTCATAAGAACCTAGATTCAAATAATTAATGGCATTTATAAAAGACAACAGTAACATCTATTCCCTCTGATGCATAAATATTATAAAAAATAACAGAATTGCAACCATATTATGATGATATGACCAGAGCTCCTTCAGTGACAGACTGCTGCACCCTAAATGCACCAGGGAGCGTTATCACAGATCCTTCCTCCCAGCAGCTATAAGACTTTATAACCACCACTGTTCCCAACAGCCTCAATAACTTGTTACATCCATGCAGATTTTCTACCTTATTCAGTTAAATAATATGTTGCTGTCATTTTGCACATCTCTGATGTTGCAGGAATTTCCAGGTGCAAAGTTTTATATACAGTATTTTATTGGTCATCTTTTAACTCTTCACTATTTTGTTTTTCTTATACATTTTCTAAGGTCCATATTTGTGTGACTGTTTTTTTCTATATTTTTGTGTTGCTGTAAACACCAGAATTTCCTCATTGTTGGACAATAAAGGAATTTCTATTCTATTCTCCTTTGGGAATCGCCTCGCTACTTTACTCATCTGGGCAAGGGTTAGAATTAAATAATGCAGAATTGTAGCAAAAAGTACCAAACAACCTTTTGATTTTGTAATAGATATTTCCTACATTTTGACCATAATTCATGATCTTATTTTAAAGTACTAAGGCTTTTGATAATGTTACATCAAATACAAAAAAATGTTATTTAGTTTTTTTTATATACAAATCATATTAACACACAAACATATATATATATATATATATATA